ATTTTATGATAAATTACTAACCACTTGACAAGTGAAATAAATTTAATAAAATATTTTTATTTATTTGACATGTTTATCATTTCAATATATGTATAATTAATGATTGTTTATAGCAAGTAACAAAATAAAATTAACTTAAAATTGATATTATTAATTCTTTAAAACATTTAATTTTACTATCTGAATCATGTTAAATAATATTTTATGATAAAAATTGTGTTTATTTATTTATCCACTATTCCCTTTTTTCAACGTTATTTATTTACCCACCTATTCCTTTCCTGCAATGGTATTTGATCTAGTTTTTTTATTTAATTAAAAAAATATAATAATTAATTAATAAAAAATTTATATTTATTATTAATTAATTATTAGTTAAATAAATTTTTTATTTGCTGGTATTGTGAGAGAATAAATCAATTTGTATAAGGGCAAAAATACCCTTTGTATTCCATTTAATAAAGTTATTTGTTTTGCTAATAAAAAAACTTAAATAAATTTTTTATTTAATATATATTATAATTTTTATTTTAAAATAAGAATAAAGTAAAAATAAACATATTAAATAATATTTTTTAAAAAACAAATAACTGAATTTAAATGCCTTAAATTAAAAATTAAATCTAATAAAGTTAAATGGATATAGTATAACTCAAAATTCATGATTCCTATTAATAATTTAAGTAGTTTAGTAATAATTTTTTTAAATAAATATAAACATTTAAAATTTAAATTATATAATATACAAATAAAGATAATTTAAAAGATAAAAGAGAATTACCTTCTCAGATTTATCTTCCCTTGCACAACCCAAATCAAAATCCATAATACCTTGCAATAGAAAGAAATTTACAACTTAGGTTGCGTTTGGAATTACGGTTGGGAGATTTTTTGTATAACCATACAATATTTTTAGATATATATGTTTGATAATTTTTTAAATTGTTTTTTCTAAAAATTGTAAAAAATCACAATAAACTTTCAGTATTTTTATTTATAAATTTAGAAACCTCATTTTAAAATCTTCTGATTATGATTTTTATAAAAAAATATTTAATATTTAATATAATTATAAAATTACCTATTAAAATCCAATTTCATATAATTTAATTACATAATGATTTATAATATTTTAATAATTATAACAAATCTAAAAAACTTAAATTATTAAAAAATAATAAATATTATTTATGTTAATAATTATATATTTTATAATATTTTTTAAATTCTGATTAATAATTAACAAAATCTATTATTTTTAAAAATAAATAACTAAATACCAAAATAATTTTTAGTCATAATTATATCATAACTCAATTTAATAAAACTATAGTTATAATCACGATATTTTACAACAATATCAAAGGCACTCTTAGTCAACTCATGGTCTCTCTCACTTTTTAATTTGGTTTCACCCTTTGAATAATTTTCCCACAATGCGTGCATTTTACGGGTGAAGGCCGAAGGTATAAACCTCCACAAACTAATCAACCTCACTCCACGCACCATGCCTATTATTATGGGTAAAATGAGAGTGGCACAACAAAGCATTTTTTGGCCCTCAATAATTACAAAATGGGAAACTAGTAATCTAACAACCTTCTAGAAAGCTCCCCACTAATAAGATAATACTGAATTCTCAGCCGAAACTCCACGGCACCCTATCTCAGAGATTGCCCATGGCCATTGATAGGGAAGCCTTTGAAGTAAAGCATGATTGATGGTAGCATTCCGTGTATGACCCATGCTCTTCTTCCGCGTCTGCACAGTAAGAGAACAGACTTTGATACTCAGCAATGGCAATGCTATCATCTTCTAGCAACACGAGTAACTATATATCGTCCTTTTTCAAGATCATACACTGTCTTCAACTGGGCCTTCCTCCATTTAGATATCGTCCATGCTATAAACATCAATAATAGAGTGATGGCGATTAGAGAGACCAAAGTGGGCGAATCATCACTAATGATGGTTACAATCCAGTCAGGGTCGTGGTGCTGCACATTCAAGTCAGCTGTACTTTGCAAGATGAAGGCACCCAAGGACCAGTCAAGTGGTATGTTTTTCACCTGATTAGCAAACCTAACCCTGTTCAGGAAAAAACTCCCTTTATGAGAGAAGTGATATGAAAAACAGATTAAGCTATTGACACTCTGACCCTAGATATAAGATTTGGACACATCAATTCGTAGGGATGCCATTATACAAACAATTTCAGAAGTGAACTGAACCAGCTTAGGTTGTCCGAATTCTGGAATAAACACATCAGTGAGAAATGCACCTTTCATCATCCAAAGCAATTCCAAGGCTGTCATGAAGTAACGCCACAATATATGCTGAAGAAAAACAATAGTGCAACAGATCTTCGTCATTGACAGAATGGTATTTATTCTTTAACTTCGACCAATCTTCTCCGCAGAAATGTTGTCCAGCCATGATGAGATTAGAAAGAAATGCCCTTGGCCGCAACCCAAAGAACTAATCAAGCAGGAGACAAATATGCAAATGAAGATAGCTTACAAAACATATAATTGGTGCATCCAAGCAAGCATTTTATGGCCTCTGGATATTTCTCCCAAAAGGATCCAAAAATGACATTCAAAACTAGAAATTTAAGGAATAATATAATTTTGAAAGAAACATCAAAATACCTTTGAAGTATGGAAAAAATTTTCTGTGGCCAAAAAATTCCCCTTAAGCTTTGGCATGAAAGCTGATCCTAAATAGCACTGGTTATGGGAGCATTTCTCTGCAATTTTAATAAATATAATACCCATAAATACTCAGTGACACAGGTAAAAGCTATCGTTGTGGTTGTTCTTTAAGATTTATAACCTTTTCCCTTTTCTAATAGCATTAAAGCTGCTGATCTGCACTCAGAAAAGTTACCCCTGGCTTGAAGTGTGGTTAGAAATTTGCTCTTTTCAGCTAAAGAACCTGGAGATAGCTTCCACAACTCCCTGCCATGTAAGTAACCTTTAGGTGAACATGGATCTATTTGGATTCCTTTCTGAAGAGGATTAGCAGCTGCATTTTTTTAGAAAAAGGAGCAACACTAGTCATGAGCATTTGGCAATAAACGCTAAACCAACTATATCAAAGGTCAGATCTGATGACACTAGTGAGAGAAACAATATCGTTTTTCTTTTAATTGATATTAGGGTTGAGAGAAACAATAATGATTTTCTATTAATTGATATTAGGGGAGGGGGATTTGAACTCATCTCTTTTGGACGGGGAACAGGCCTTTTACCAACTGTGCTACAAACTCAAGTGCAAAAAATGATTCTAATTGTAAAGAACTAAACTACAACTGAAAATATCAGGGGAATCTGTAGGGATTTATCTCAAAGATTTCCTTGTTCTGCAGTCCGGACTGCACCAGACTGCCAACCAGGGGCCATTGGATGGGGGGACAGCCCCCAATATCAGGGGGCCCACCCCCATTCAATGGTAAGTGTTGAGCAGGCTGGTGCAGTCCTAGACTACACAACACTTTTTGTATCTCAAATTCTAGAAAATCTTTTTCCCTTTTTGGTGAACAAAGTAGGTTAGACTGCAAATATAGCAATTAACTTAATAAGTAAATGATTCTATAGGCAAGCATATAGAGGGCAAGAATAATTGTGAACCAGCCATGAAATAAACAAATTTTAAGTTCATTCAGAGAATTGTAAACAGAAGAAGAATATACACAAGCAAAGGCAAGGATACATACTCAATTCAAGGTCTCCTGAAATGAGAGATTCCCTCAAAGATTCAAATGCAACATTCTGCAGAACAACAAAGGTTAGAAATACCAAAAATATAAATAAATATCTCAGGAATCTGTAAGTGTTAATCTCACACTACAGAAAAGTTTTTCCCATTTTTCAGCGAACAGAATATTATTACTTCAACCATAACAGTTGATGCAGGTGCTAATTTTTGACAGGTTCTTGGACCACTGGGATAACCGGAAGTAGAAGAATAGGGACAAAACTTGAATTTTTGGCATCCTGGTAAAAGAGTCAGTACCATGAAAAGGTGTCAGCACTTTTGAATGAAGCTTATAGCTGAAACTACTGCCTCAAAGTGTTGGCACCATAACATATGGTGCTAACACCTCATTTTCACGGTGAAAAAGCTTTTCCCAGGATTCCAAAAATTCAAGTTCCACCCGTATTCTCAAACTACCACCCTCAATGGTCCAAGAACTCTTCTAAAATTGGCCCTCTTTTCAGCAGTTAACTAAGTAAGTGATGATGGTAAAGACGCATCCACACACACGTACACATTAAAAAAAAGGTTAAGAAAAGAACTTAAGAAGTGTCATACTTTCTCAATCCAGCGATTAAATGCATAAAGCCTTGTTTGTTCACTATATGCCGAATAACAAAAAATAGGATCTATCTCAAGTTAGAGAAAAAGGAAGGTCTAGGTGGAGCATTATTCACTATACCAACATTGACAAACAATATAAAGATAAACCATAACCAGCAGCATAGAGAAAAATAAGAGGAACAAAAAGAGAGGACGCAGATGAAAAATACCTGGCCAAAATGAAGAAAGCTATGGCTATAAAGATTGTATGTAGAATTCCCAAATTTAATGGTGTGTGAAAATTCAGGAGGCATAGGTTCATTAGAAACAAAAGTCACCTGTAATACAAGCACACAAGCCAATTAGAAAGATGATTTCACACATGCTTCTTATGTGCTTTCTTAATGAGCATCATGATTACAAACATATGCAGAATTCTGAAGAAATTGCACTCACCCCATGTGATTAGGTGTAGGTGCACTTAACCCTCAAACCACAAAAAGTGCATTCCACCCCCATATAGTCTGAGAAAAGTGCAGTTAACCCCAGAGCATTCAATAGTAAATACTAAGGGTGAAAAGTCAAAAAGACCCACAGATACAAAAAAATAAAGAGAGCATTTTTGACTTTATCATCCTCAATCTTTAATTGCTTTGGAGTTAAGTGCACATTTTTCAAAACCACATCGCATGATACACACCTTTGTTGCAATTTGAAGGGTTAACTGCACCCACCACAAACCATATGAGGAGTATGTGCATTTACCCTAAAATTAATCAAAAAGCTAAGCTACATGTTGATCTACATAACAGATGAATCTAGGGCTCTGTTTGGATTAGCTGTTCAAATGCAGCTGATAGCCAATATCCAACAGCAGATAGTTTTTGTCACTTATAATCCAAACACTCTTGTTTGTCTGATTAGAGAGCAACAACTGTTGCTTAAGGGCCAATCCAAACAGGGCCTAGAATTATGTTACCTAACAGTTTGGTTAATTACAATAAAGATAAAATAACACATTCAGCAGCGAACAAATTGTTGGATGTTATATTTCTGTCAATGAAAATGATATCCAAACTCTGGTCCAATCATATCACTGATAAAACATATATACATTCAACCACAATCATGAATCATCCAATCTCCAGCAATTCAACAAAAAATAGTTTACAGATCATACAAATGCCAAAATCTTGTCAGTGGCACCATCTGAGCAGAAGCTTGAATAATTAATAGAGTGAATGATTAATAGAGTGAAAGTGGCAAAATGCAATTCACCTTCACAAAAAATACCATGAAAAGCATCTTACTGAATGAAAAGATTCAAAAATATGAATGGGGAACCAACCTGAACAGAAGCACCACCAAGTTCAATAATCCCAGTTGTTTGCAAAGGATTACCTCCAAGAGTCCCAAGTGCATAATTTGCAACAACCCAAGCATATACTCCCTCATCAGAGCCTAAGGTAATCATAGAATCCAAAACTTAGTATGTGAAGAATGGAGAAGAAATTTGAAATTTTGACACATAGTTGAAGTGATTAGGACTAAGCTTCCTGCATTCACTTCCTAAGAATGATACTCAGTTTCAATCCAATATATCATAAATTTCATAGTATCATGACAACCAACAGAGAAGCAGAATACAAAAGAAACAATGAGATCCTGGTATATGTCGTAGTAGAGTGTGTTACTATTAACATGTGCATTTATACTCAGCTAATTTACCGTATTCAGTTTATAAGAAAATTCAGGTGAAATTTTTTTAGAGGAATCAGAAAATTCAGGTGAATAACCAAGTACATACTAAGACATCTCATAATTCTGAAGAAAATTGTCTATTGCAGCCAATGTAACTGTTAGCACGGGGTAGCACAAACCACTCTACTAATGATAATACTCATGCAATGAATTATATGTGGCAGTAAACTATCAGTTTCTAATTCAGGAAAGAAGTTGCCTACTAGTACCTTGTCCTAAATCCTATGATCACTATTGAAACCTGACACATAAAGTGAGAAACTAATAGCTTATATTTTGGCATTGTTCAGCTAATAATCATTGACGAATTTATATATCCTGCAGTATCGCATTGAGATTAGTAGCTCTGCCAACATGGCATTTTGAGAATTCTATTTTAGGACATAAGTCATGACTTAACTCTATCTCAACTTTAGAATTC